CTTTACCAAGTGTGAACTGCGGCCAATCAGGGGATGGGACTCCTCCACTGTAAGCATGAGCCACATGCCCAGTCTCCAGTTTGACATCTCAGCAGTTTCTGAGCCCTTCAGAAGCCAAGTGAGGCATGTGGTTTGTGTGGAGTTAGGAACATAAGCCTTCGCTGATTTTCTCGCTGCTTTTCTTAGAAGCTGCCCCCTTCCCACACAAGTGAACACAAAATGATCAAACACAACACATTATAGCATGAATCAAAAAATGAGAACGCACCAAAAGTGTGTGCATGTGGGAAGGGGGGCAGGGGGGGAGACAGGCAGCACAGGCCGCGGATGCAGACAGTCAGGAGTACTGCATTAGCAGTTGGCAGTGTCCTAGCAGGCTGTCCCTGGCACTCGGGAGCAAGTCATAGGAACCAAAAAAGCCCGGGTGTTAAAAAGCCCAGAGAGAGGAAAGTACCAGCAGGAGTCCTGTTCACGGCTACGTTAGGGAAAGGAGAATGGTTTCTATTTGGGAAGAGAGTGTGTGTGTACTGTGTGTCTGTGTATCCCGTGTATCTGTCCACGTAAGCACGTGGGTGCACGTACATGCACAACGCCCCTATAGTTTTCAAGTCTTCTGTGCTATCAACATTTTAAGAGCATTGAACAAGGAGAAAGAAAATGTCTTTCTCTGACATTTGTGATAAAGCAGTGGTTCTCAAAATGAATTGCATATCAAAGTTATCTATGGAAGCTCTGCAAAAAATACAGATGCACTGGCCCCAACCCAGAGGTAGTGAACTGGACCCTCTCTCCTGTGACAGGTGTCGGGAACTGACACTGGCATGTGGTACAAGGACCATCCGATTCCTGCAGGACAGCAAGCTTGCTCTTGGCTCCAGGTTGTGCCCAGAGGAAAGTCTGATATTTGGGATAAGGAGTTTAAAAATCACTGTATGGGGGATCCTTTGAACTGACACTGGCATGTGGTACAAGGACCATCCGATTCCTGCAGGACAGCAAGCTTGCTCTTGGCTCCAGGTTGTGCCCAGAGGAAAGTCTGATATTTGGGATAAGGAGTTTAAAACTCACTGTACGGGGGATGCTTTGAAATTTCCCAACACTTCCATTCAGTTTGTAACAGGACATGCCCTAGGGGATGAAGGCTGACCTGAAACACACACACACACACACACACACACACACAACCCCCCCCCCCCCCCCCCCCCGCCGTCCTCTGGCAGTTTCTCTGACAGATCTTGAGCTTTCTTGAGGAGGACAGCCTTCTTAGTTTCCCAAGTGAGTCTCTCACTTCACCCCGAGTAAAACTCATGAGAACTAACATTTATAAGCACTTACTATGGACCAGGAGCTGAGCCAAGCGTCTTCATTTAATGGTTACAGAACTATGGTGGAGCTGTTGGTATCCCATTTAGGAGATGAGAGCACTGAGGCTTGGCCACTGCCACAAAGTAGTAAAGCAGAGCCAAGCCTGAGCCATCAGACTCGGAGCCCCAAGTGCTTGACCACTGGGCAAGACGCCTTCCAACCAGCTTTGTCATGTGGCCACACAATAAACAGGAACTGGGTGGATGGAGAGAGAACTACTTTTAATCTCTCCATTAATTTCATAACCAAATAGGGAGTGTTTCTTAGTAGGATGGGCTGCTGCCAGGGGTAGAGGAAGAGAGGAAATAAGAGAAAACACGGGCCAAATACGGGGAGAAATGCACGTTGCCTCTTTGTTCTTGCGATACCAATTCACTTTGAATGGGAGACTGGAATGATTGCTTCATTTGGGCGATTAAGGCGCAAAGGGCTTCCCCCTTTCTTTATGCCAAGTACAAGAAAGAACATTCCCACACCGCAGATGCGGAGTGTTCACTGCCTTCTCTAGCCCCCACCCAACGCCTACCTTCCCAAGGTCCTCCAGGTTCTTGGCCACTAATGCGAAGCGTGCCCATGTGGCTTGGGGCGGGAGGGGCTGAGAGGGGCTTTGCTCGGTGGTTCATCAGGGCCTTTTCCACGCACAAATGTGTCTCCTGCATGCGTGGAAAGCTCTGCTTTTCTCGCCCCTTTCCCAGTCACTTCCACATTAATTAGTAAGGGTATCATTTTATAAATTACAGCTTCATATCAGAGGAGAGCAGAGTTTATCTTAATTCAGTCAGCTGTGTGAAATACGGTACCCTAATTTTAGCCCACCAGTGCTGCGGATCCCCGTGGAGTAAAAGAATGACAGGTCTTCCGGAGAGAAATCCCAGTGGGTCCCTGCAAGTCTCACTTCTGCCTCCAACAGCAACCCCGGTGAGGCTGCGGAAGGGATCCCAGGACACTGAGTGGCATCTTTTCCACCATTAGCAATTCAGATTTGAATGCGAATCCTCCAAGCAGCACATGAAAGCAGCCCCAGTTAGCTGTGGGTCTCGGAGGGGGGCCCAGGCAAGAGACTCTGGCACAGAGGAAGCTGACAGGGGCCCCGGCTCCAGCGCGCAGCAGAAGCCTGGGAGGATGGTGTGAAAGTCGGTGATAAACACCAGACAATCTCAGTCCAAAAGGGGAAGCCTGACAGTCTTAACTGTAACAGAGCCAAGCAGGCACGACTGCAAAATTACAGTCTTGATTGCTCCTGCTGGGAGACCTCTGGAGGAAGACCGGGTGGCAGGGCAGGGACAGATGATGGGAGCGTGGCTGGCAGGAGCTCCCCATGAGGAGGAGGGCCTGCAGGGCCGCCATGGGCCACAGGAAAAGCCACCGGGGCGACCGGCCATCACCATCTTGTGCGTTTGCTCTACACATCTCTTTACTCTCCTTTGTGGCCCTGAAATCATCCCCAACCCTGAGTGGTGGGGCCCTGGCTCCCTTCCCACCGCCATTACTCTGCTCAGACACTCTGCTGCTTTGCACGCAGAGCTGGAACCCGGGGCGGCAAGGACACGGGCATTCGGGTCCTGGCAAGGGACTTGGTGGGATGCTGTCAGTGTGCAGGAAACACCTCGGCCCCCGGAGCACTCTGAAACCCACAGATGGCTCTGGTAATTCCTAGAATTACCAGAGTGAGGTGATCATCTGGACAAGCGGAGCTAGACACCTGCAGAGGTCCTGAGGTAACTGGGCCAGAATGAGGCCCAAGCATCAGGAGGTTTGCGGCCCCCCAGGTGATCCGGCTCTGCATTCAAGGTTGAGACCGCTGACCCGGACACCTACGTGCAATGCAACACTGGACAACCTTATCGCCTTCTACCACTGCTGGAGACCGGGGGCCCTTTGGGAATTCCGTTTGGACGTGAAACCCAGAGGAAGGCGAATCCCCTTGGAGAAGTGCCACCAGCTTGGAAGGTGAGATCAACCATCACCTGTAAAAGATCTCCTGGACCATCCAGAAAGTACTGGACCCCCTGGGTGCCCGGGATGCCCGACAGAATGACGTGAAGACCGCCACGTGGGAATGTGGCCTAGAAGGCCCAGTGCAGGTGGGCACGCCTTGGACACTGAGCCTCTCCTGCTGTCCCTGCGCCTCTGGCACCCACACACCTGCTGCCCAAGGCACGAGGGGACCTACTTGTGGGGAGCTAGGACTCCCAGGGGCTGGAGGAATGAGGCTTCTAGTTGTCAGTTAAACAAAAGAATAATCCTCAGCCCCCTTTGCAGTGTGTACTTTCACTGTCATCCAGCAGCCCATTACCATGTCACAGCAAAGCACACCCTTCCATAGGTCACTTTGTTTAAAATGACATGGATAATGCACATGTCAGCAAGCTGACAGTCCTGGCCGTCCTTCAGAGATAAAAACCTCAAGGCGAGAGCCTGTTCTTATCTAGGGGACATGCATTGGTCTATCATCCAAGTCAGGCAGAACATGATTTCTCCAGAGAGCACTTTTTTCATTTCCTGATTTTAAGGGAATCAAATAAGCACCATTTGTCTTCATCTGAATATGCTTGACCTGCTCAAATGATGATGTCTCGCATTTTATAACAGGCTACATATGCTGAATTCAAATTAACAACAGTACAGAACAAGAGCCTTTAGATCTCTCTTGGAGGCTGGCAGCAGAGAAGGAGGGAAAATTCTGGGCTTGATGGGAAGATCCCACCAAATACTGACTGCAGGATTCTGAGTAAAATCCACAAGCAAATACGAGGCGAAAGGCAGAGAATGGGGCTCAAGAAAGCCAGCTACTCAGGACAGACCCAGAAACTGGGGAAGGGATTACTGGTCCCTTCCTTTTGATGCCAGGCAATACAGAAACCATGATATTCAGGCAGCTCTTTTCGAAATACATAAGGTAGGAATAAAATTAGGAAGAAATTTTGATGGGGAGTTGGGACAGCTAGAAAGAAAGACCAATCAAAAAATCCCTTTGCCTCAGGCACAGAAAGTTCACTTTACCAGGTTGTGATCCAATCTTCTGAAAGCTCAAACACTGAGCTCCTTTTCCTGATCCATGTTGAACTGGATACACAGAAACTGGCGGCCATCAGCCTCAAAAGAGAATATGTACCTGCAGAAAGAACTGCCCTCCTCCCCTGGCGAGAAGAGAGCCGTAGCCACCCGAGCTCTCCGGCCCACCCCTCACCCCATGATGAGAGTCCTAGAAACACACTATTCATATTTCTATCAAGAAGGCCAATATGTACAGAAAAGCAGGAAGAAGCAGGGAGGTCATTAAAAGAAATGGAGAAATGACATTATAAATGCAAACTAGCAAGTTTAATGTTCCAATTGAGGATTAAAAAAGAAAAATCAGATGGTTATTAAAATAGTTTCCTCTTTTAAGATCTATAAAGTGAAAACTTGATGTTATATATACCCAATATTAACGGACATGTTTTAAAAAAAATGAAACGAAGTAAATACCTTATTTCTTATCATAGGAAATGTCACTGTGTAAATATAACTGTTCTTTGCAGAACATAAAAGGTGTGGTCAGTATGAAGCTGGCATCCCACCACCCTATAACTGTGTGGGAAAACCACGGTGCTCAACTGTGCCCACAATGGTGGGGTGGGGGGGGGTCTTACCTTCTCTTCCTGGTCACTGTCACTGTCACACTGAAAAGAAATACAAGAGAATAAGGGTTAGTGCAAAAATTGAGTAGATTTTTGTTTTTGATACAGGAAAAAAAAAAAGAAGACAAGTAAAGGAATTAGGAAATATTGCCTGAGCCATAAAGAGTTTCTTCAGCTCAAATGCTCATGAACCGAATCAGAAGCAGAATGCTGAGAAGCTGCTCTGTTGATTTCATTTGATGCCTTTGCTCTGTGGTTCTTTGTGGTCTGTGGACAAGGTCTGGCAAGGTGCTTGGTCACAATGGTGAGAGGCCCCATTGCCCGGGAGAGGGGGTGCCCACTGAGGAGCCAATCCGGCCACAGGATTAAGGTGAATCAGAATCATTCAATGGGATTCAGAGCAAGTCAATATCTTAATGGAGACCTTCTACCTTCAGCTAATGTTAATAGTTGTATCTCTCCTGGTGCTTTTTACACAGAAAAAAAAGCTAAACCTCTGGACGCTGCATTCTCTCATTTGGACTCTGAAGGAAACAGAACATAATAGGCAGAGCTCACCAGTTGTGATGGCTGCCTTTTCTAAGGCCCGGAAAAAAGAGGGAATATTCTCTACAAAAAAAAAACATAACAAGGACAAGAAGAGGTCAGGGAAGTAAATCAATAATATGGGCAAAGAAATATGTTTTAAGGAGGCAGACTCACATCATATCTAACAGATCCCAAATTCCAACTGGTAAGCTAAGTTGAGGATAACCAGAGAATGTTTTAACTCACAACTCTGGCTTCCTCATTAGATGGGAAGGGAAAAAAATAAAAACCACATTTTCCTTTTAAACCAAGAGTGTTTGCTATCCACCTGATTTTAAAAAAAGGGGTATGTGTTCTGTCAGAGTGAATGTGCAGCAGGATCAATAGATTTGTTCGTTCACTCAACAGTCCTTGATAAGCACTTCTAAGCTAGACAGATACTCGACCAAGACATAGGACTGGCCCTAGAGGAGCTTTCAGGTTAGAGGTAAAGAGAAATCTAGAACACAAACACTGAGCAGAGGTGTGGCGTGATGAGAGCCATGGTCCATTAGGAGGACTCTTCCCATGGGGCGGAGGACAGACCACATGCCGCGGGGGAAGACACAGGTCATGGGTGACCCGTTTGGCAACCGTTACAACACTGTCTAAACCAGCATGATGCATGGCTGAAGAAAGGGAGGAACATACGGCACAGCAATTCTGAAGGTAGAACCAATAGGACCTGGTAACACATGGGTATGATAAACAAGGACGAGGGATCAGTCTAGGATGATGCAAAGGTTTTTAGTGTGGCCACGTGGACATGGCAGCTGATGTAGCTATGAACAGAAACAGAAAATAAATTTGCTTATACAACAGCCACTACTGGCTAGATACCCACAGTTATGCACAAACCCCTTCTCCCTAGTCTGTACCTTATCCTGACATTTTGAGACTGAAAAAAGCCAGGTGGTCTCTCTTTTCCAACTTTCCTTGCAGCTAAGGGTACCCATAAGACATGCTCTTGGCTGACACTTGAGGAAATGTCTGCCGAGGGCGCTGAAAAATTTTTCTCTCTTCAAAAAAAGAAGAAAAGCAGGAAGCACCTGTCTCTTGCCTTTGAACGTGACTGTACGAGGATGTGATGTCCAGATCTGTGGCAGCCACCTTGCAAAAATGAGGCAGAAAGTCTAAGTACACAAACAAGATGGTGGTGGCACAATGGAGACACTTGAACCAACCTAAGAGGAGCCTGCCTCTGGACATTTTTGTTCAGATAAAAATAATTTACCTTCTCGTTTAAACCATTGTTAGAGCGCTTTAAATTGAGAGTAACAGAAACTCCATCCTAAAGGACATCTTGCTATTATAAGACACAACTGGGGGATTACTTCCTATTTCTAGCTTACCCTCTCTGCACTGTACTTAGGAACTCACATCACAAACTCCTAGACTAGGAGGTTCTAACATTTTCTACTGTCCACGATGGCTCCTCCATGCCATAAGGTGAACAGAGTTTTAGTGACCATGCTTTAACCAAGTATAACTACCTTGTTTTCAACCAGGCTTCCAAACTCAGATAGTCTAAACTTACTTTTGCCTGATGAGTGATTTCCCTATTGTAATAAATCAAAAGAGATGAGATGAAGACTTTGAAGGCCTAGGACAATAGACTGATGAGGTTCTCTTCTCCTGATCATGTGATTTTTTTCCCCCCATTGCCTTTAATTAGGGCTTCTTTGAGGTTCCTAAGTTCCAGGAACATTTTCAAGAGTGACAAAGCATGATTCAGGAGGGGCGTGGAAGAGAGAAGCGTTTTTTTGCCAGGCAGGCTCATCTTTCCCAGATGTTCACAGCCCGCCTTGTGAGGTAATCAACTACAGCCGAAGGCTATGACACAGCTCTCGCCCATGTCCCCAAGGACTGGTGTGCAGGGGGTAGAAGGAGTGGGGAGGCTGGGAAAGAGCCACCGCTGTCCATGTCCCCCCACCAATCCTAACAGCAGTATGTCCCTGGGAATGGTTATTTCTATCAAAGTGTTAAGCTTTCTGCTTTCCAACAGTCCAGTTCTAATTTCAAGGTCCACTTAATTCTGCATCAAGTAATTACTGATATACCCAGAAGCACCTTGTCTCCAGAGTTAAGCATATGGTGAAGAACTGAGACCTACTGGTATCCATTATGGAGGCAGCACGGATGCCAAGCCGATTAAAAATGCTCAGGCTCCCCACACAACATGCCGGATGAGTGACAGCTCCTCGACAAGGCCAGTCGCAGAGTCTGCCAAAACAGTCTCTGCTGCACTGGGGCCCACATGGTGTGCTGAGAAAACAGTTCCATTTCTGGTATTAAATTCCCATACTGACCCGAGGACTTTGCCGTGAGCTCAGCAGGAGCACACCATCCAATTTACAGCTCTGCTCTCCGGAGCCTCGAGTGCCAGCCCCTGGCAGAGACGAATGATGGTCAACCCCTCCAGCTCATAAATTATGCAAAGGCAATAAATGCACTCAGCAAACAGCGCCTAACGTTTGCCTAGCCTGGCTCCTGACACACTCTGTAAAAAGCCAGAAGCTCGACACATACAAGAGGTCTATTCCACTCATAAAGGGGGTTTGTTGACAACCCCAGACGGAAAGCGAGCCACAGTCCTAAGGAGTCTTTCTGCTTCACTGGCAGCAGTTTATGGGCCGGCTTTATGAAAAAGAGAGGCTGTTTTATAGAGTCAGTGTGGGTAGAATTCATGGTCTCAAATTCACATTTAATACACTGTACGGCTTTCACACCCTAAGTTCAATACATTGTGGATTTTAGGCCAAATGATTCTTGGTCTTGAAAGGTTAAAAGAAGAAGTGTCTGCTCCCCAGTCCCTAGACACCCACTCCAATTTACAGGAGTTCACATCAAGCCACCTCCTGATTCAGACCTATGTTCTGCATGAGGCTGAGAAGTGGGAAAGGCACGTCGAATGGACAAACGGAGTCCCAGCTGATTTGACCATTTTAAGCATTTTGACATCAGGGTCCCGCATTGGTTTATTAGCAAACAGGTTGCACGCTAATGACCCGCTTGAGGTGACAGGGTACTCTCCATGACTAGATTTCAAAGCCCTTTGTGAAAAACTGAAAATATCTGCCTCCATTTTAAAAGAAAGAAATGACAAGGAACAAGTAGGCCTTACACCTCAGACAGGGAAGAATTCTTGGCTGCTGAGTCTTCAGACAAATACGTGACCCAAACCCACCACAGATAAAAGAGGGAAAACAGGAGCACGAAATCCAAGCCACATGCCTCAAAAGCAGGATTCAGAAAGGGGCTAGTGCTGAAGCACAGTACTGCCGGCCACCGGAACCCAACCCCGCTCAACTTCACCTTCACCTTGTGTCTCCTCTGGTTTCACAAATCAGAAGTGAGCCTGTAGGGGCAACATCTTCCTTTCTCACTTAATTCCCACCCTTTAAATGCTTCAACTCACCCACGCACCTACCCAATATTTTCTCCTCTTAAAAATTAACGCATATTTACTAAAGGTATTTTTAAAAATCACCCATGAACTTGGCACTCATAGGTAAACAGCTAATACACCTGTATTATTCTTTGCAGTCTTTTCTCCATCCTTCCCACACACATTTTAAGAAATGAAAACAAATTCCTACTATATTGTAGCCTGCTTTGTTTTCAGATAATGTGTCAAATATTTTGTTCAATGAGTGAAATTGGCCCTGTCACATCACTTTTTTTTTTTTTTTTTTTAAAGACTGCACTGGGATCCACCGTATGGATTGTAAATAATCTAGTAAGAAAATTCCCCAGTGCTGTTATTTGGATTGTTTCGACTCAACGGCCTGCAATGTTCCCCTCTTTCACACTGACCAATACTGCTCTTCCTTAGGATCTTGTCATGGCCCTTCCTTCTCTGCATATCCCTTAATGTCACTGTCTCCCCAGAGTTGAATCTGCAATACTATTGTTTCTCGGTGATTTCCAGGGGAGCCCTTAAAGATCCCCTTGGTTCCATCTACCATTTATATTTTTAGACTGAAAAATCTCTATGCCTACCATCTGCCAGCTATGTAACTTTGGGAGAGTTGTTTCAGTTCTCTGCACCTCAGTTTACTTTTCTGTAAAATGCAGGTAATAATGGCATTGCCCTCAAAGGACGGTCAGCATAAAGTAAGTCAGTACATGTAAACAACTCAGACAACATGTGGCACAGAGTCAGGGTAGACAATAAACGTTAACTGTTTCCAGCGTATGTTTCTGCTTGCTATGCCCCCTTCCCGAAGCCCTGCAAACAGACTCAAGCATCCATTTAAATCCGGACTAGCGATCTTTGCTCACCGCAAATCTGGCCCTCTCTCACCGTGTCCTCAGTAATGCTATCAGTGTTCAGTCTCGGTGAAGAGTCTTGTTATCATCCTTGACTCCATTCTTGAGCAGACCTACCTTCCTCTCTCACCCACATCACTGACTCTGCTTTCTAAATCCTCACCATCTCCACTGCTGTCGCTGCTGCTTTAGTTCAGCCTTTT